CTGCTGGGCAGTTTCCTGCTCTCTGACGGCTGCCTTTGTGCTGGAGCCATGACCTCTGCCTGCTGGAAGCGAGCTGTGGCTTTAATCAGCACAGCCTTGGCTGACCTGATATAGTGCGTTACCACCCCTGCCAGGGACAGAGGGGACCTGTGGGAGCGTAGCCTGGGGTGCAGGGACAGCGTGGTGGGGAATGCATACCGGGGAATGTCATTTCTGTGGGTGATCTTTGCTTCCTGTCGCTGCAGAGTGTGCGAGCAGCCAGCCTCAATGGAGCCACACGAGTGGCCGGACGACATCACCAAATGGCCGGTGAGCATCGCTGGTGGCACAGGGCCTGTGCTGGCATCTGGCATTTCCACCCCACTGTTCAGAGCCACAGCACTGCTGTTGGAAGCAGTATCTGCTGCAGCCTCCTGCTCCTTGTCACAACCACCAGGTCAGGGCGGCAGTTGCTTTGTCAAGCCAAGGCTTGAAGCCCTCCAGCTCCAAAGGTTTCCCCCGTACCAGCTAAAGTCCTGCCAGGGTAATAGGATGATGGAGAATGACTTGGTCTTAGAGCTGTCTTGGTTGCTTGGCAGGGAGGGGAGAAGGTGTTGATTTAGGCTCCAACAGCTCAGGCAGATGGGGTGTCAGGCACCATCTTGCTGTCAGAGGAAGGCCTCAGGAGGCTGTGTCTGTGGGACTGGCTTCTTCCCAAGTGGCTGTTTGACCTTCCCCAGGCAGCAAGGAAAATCACGACTGTCTAACTGAAGCCTGTTGTCATTTTCCAGATATGCACAAAAAACAGTGCTGGAAATTATACAAACCACCTTCACATGGACTGTGTGATTACAGGCCGGCCCTGCTGCATTGGGACCAAAGGAAGGTAACGAGTTTTGCCGGTATGGAGAGGGGCTGGGTAGCAGGGTGAGAAACAGGGGTCCCTTTTGGGGTTGTAGACGAAGCCATTTGTCCTCCTTGGGCTTCCTGCATGCAGCCCAGAGCCCTGCTGGTAAGGGGAGCCCAACAGGGTCTTGCAGACAGAGCAGGACTCAGACAAGCGCAGGATAACAGCCAGCCTCATTCTTTGGTGTGGCAGGGTATCTCATTCAACTGATCCTGCAGTTTGGAGGGACTCAGAACCCTGGGAATTAAATATTTCTTTTGGGGAGTTCTGTGCTTTTCCTCAGGAATGGCCAGCGTGTTCCTAACAGGCTACATTGGCCCAGCGTGGTGCCTCTGAGCACTCAAGGAGCTGTCAGGAAATGACTAACTCTGGGATTTGCCAAGAAGGAAGATGTTCTTCCTCACGTTGCTTCTCAGCTTAAGTAGTTGCCTAGTGCTTGGGCATGGCTTTCCCTGCTGGGAAGAAAAATCAGCGCTGCCCCAAGGGGTTTCTCTGTCCCAAAAGTCACGGCAGGACACTCTTGGCTTAGCCTCTGCCTTTCTGCGCTGTTGGCGACTGGGGCACAGGGCTTGTAAGCCCAAGAGACACAAATTCCACAACCCCCAGTGTTTCTTTCTCAGCTGTAAATAGCTCAGCTTTGGTACTTATTTTGGAACCCTTGTATGCAGGGCATTAATCTAGGGGGGAGGAAGCAGGGGGTGACTCAGACTTGTGTTTGGGAGAGGAGCAGGGGGAGAAGTGGCAGGTATGAAGAGTGGCACCTGACTGGAATGGAGATGCATTAGTGCACCTGTTGCAGCAATGCTACAGCATGTCGAGGGCTGCATCAGTTCTCATAGACAGATTTGGGATGAGATGAGGAGGAGTGGGTGTCCAGGGACGACACTGTGTCTTCCACACATGACTGTGACCGGTAATTTCTCATTTTGATTACCTGTCCTTCTTCCAGGTGTGAAATAACTTCCCGGGAGTATTGTGAATTTATGCGGGGCTATTTCCATGAGGAGGCAACGCTTTGCTCTCAGGTAAATGCAGGCTGGGGTTTCGTATGGGTACTCCTGTTCCCCTTAGCAACTTGGCAAGATTTGGGAGTGACTGTGGCAGTATGGGTGGGAATCTTGTGTTCTGCCCTTAGGCTGAGTCCCACTCTGAGCGCAGGGGAAGTTGCTGATCCAGAATGTAGTGGCAGAGCTAGCTGCATCTGTCCTTTTTGGGAGACCAGTTTAGAACTTGGGGCTGGTAGACACAAAAGCCCAGCACAGGACCACTGTAAAAGCAGCAGGTGAATGCAACCTTCCTGCTCCATGGGTGAGCAAATGGGGATGTATATTGTACATGTGTTGAGGTGATAAATTAGGGCTTAATTCTGCAATAAATAATGGGTGGGATCATGTGAATTGGTGTCGGAGATGAGAGTTGGGACTTGATATAGCAGGGAAGGGAAAGGCAAACCCCTTTTTCAGAGCTAGCTGCAGTCTCTGACTTTGGTAACTGGCTGTGCCAGGTGGTGCTGGCACACCTCATGACCCCTCTTTTGCTGCCCTAGGTTCACTGCATGGATGATGTCTGTGGACTCCTCCCTTTCCTAAATCCAGAAGTCCCTGACCAGTTCTACCGCCTCTGGCTCTCGCTTTTCCTGCATGCTGGGTAAACACAGGTGCAAAACTTCCAGTGCCTGGGTGGGGGAACCATGGGATTGCCATGAGGGTTGTTCTAGTGCTTTCTTCCTTGGGGAACAGTAGGGGGCTGAGTTTTTGTGCCTGCTGAGGTTTGCCAGGCTGCGTTTGTTGGGAGGGATATTACAAGGTGTGAGACAGATCAGGTGCTTTCAACAAGACTCGGCACAGAAGACAAATGAGCACATTGGGGAATTCAGTGGCTGCTGCTTCAGCTCCTGTACTCTGATTTTGGCAGGATCCTGCACTGCCTGGTTTCAGTCTGTTTCCAAATGACGATCCTGCGGGACCTAGAGAAGCTGGCAGGGTGGCATCGCATCTCTATCATCTACCTGCTCAGTGGCATCACGGGGAACCTTGCCAGTGCTATATTTCTACCGTACAGAGCAGAGGTGGGTCTCCTACAGGCTAGGGTCCTGGCAACTTGCCCTGAATACAAGTCTCTTCATACCTGTGCCTCTCTGGCAGAGAAACCAGAGCTGTGCTTATCTCTGCAGCATGTGGATTGTGCAGATTTGTAGCTAGAACTCAGCACCACACTGTCACCTAGCTGCCAAGCAGTAACACCCCCCAGAGTACCCTGGGCTTTCCAAGTGACTGACCCGTTCTGGCTGTGGGGAGATGGCTGCCTCTTGCAGTGAATTGGGGGTGTCGACCAGATGATGAGGCCTGTGGTAGGCTGGGAATTAAGATCTGTAGCTGATGCCAGAGACCCTCCACATGCAAGTGGCAGGTAGGAGAGGGTGTGGGCTAAGACCACAGCTTGCCTTTCCCACAGATGGTCCAGGGCTGTCCCTGATCACATTCCGCAGCCGGAGAACTCTGATGTGACCATCGGCTTCATGGGTTGGACCTGGAGGACCATCTTCCAGGTCCTTCTGTAAGGAAGAGTGCATGGTGGGTGAGGGAACCAAGGAGATGGCCTGTAAAGACCTCTCCACTCTGGTGACTCAAACCAGATTCACCCTCCTTAAAATGAAAATCTGTTCTGGCCATTGATGGCCTCACACCTACCTTGGTCCTCGTGTCAAACCAGGCCTTGAACCCCAGTGTCAGGATGAAGTCTCACGCTGCGGCATCTCTTTCCAAAGTAACACTGAACAAGGAGTTGGTTGAATGCTAAGTAACTGTAATGGCTGGAGCTGGCTGCAGAAGCCAGGCAAATGGCATGTACCTGATGTTACTTCTTAATGCTCTTCTTCTGCAGGTTGGCCCTGCAGGATCCCAGTTTGGGATTCTGGCCTGTCTCTTTGTGGAGCTCTTCCAGAGCTGGCAAATCCTGGCACGCCCATGGAGGGCCTTCTTCAAGCTGCTGGCTGTGGTGCTCTTTCTTTTTGCCTTTGGCCTCCTGCCTTGGATCGATAATTTTGCTCACATTTCAGGATTCATCAGTGGTTTCTTCCTCTCCTTTGCCTTCCTGCCCTACATTAGCTTTGGGAAGTTTGATTTATATAGGAAGCGATGCCAAATTATAGTTTTCCAGCTCATCTTCATTGCACTCTTCTCAGGACTTGTGATTCTATTCTACTTCTACCCCATCAAGTGTGAGTGGTGTGAGTTCCTTACTTGTATACCATTCACAGACAAATTCTGCGAGAAATACGACCTGGATGCACAGCTCCACTGAAAGGCAAAGACGGGCTTCTCGAGCAGGCACTGGAGATGGACTGTCTTTGCATTTGCTGTGCTAGTTCCATATGGACAAAGCTTCTAATCCAATGACACTTCTAACCCTGCCCGTGGTTAATTTAAACTGTCTCTTTAGCACTCGGCAGGCATGTTTTGCCTTATCTCAGAAGACTCTGAACAGAACGTTTGTGCCTTGTTCAATTGTATTGAACCTTTTCTGCTGCCATTATTTTTATTACACTAGTTTCAATACTACATTTTTAACCAGAATTATTTACTACTGCTGAGGTGGTGATTAAATGGAAAGGTAGCGTTTTAGCTACTGTTAATTGTTTTGCATAGTCTGTGGCTATGTTTGTTGCTTTATTTCACCAGTGTTGTTTCATACACCAGTAGGACGCATGCTTTTCTGGCACCCAAAATACAAGGACAGATTTGCTAATGGAAATCACAGAATCAGAAAGGTTGGAAAAGACCTTCACCATCATCTGGTCCAACCATCCCCTAATAATAGTGTCACCTACTTAACCATGTCCCTAAGCACCATGTCCAACCTTTCCTTAGACCCCCTCAGGGACAGTGACTCCACCATACCCTCCGGGGGCAACTCCTTCCAATGTCTGACTGTTCTTTCTGAGAAGAAAAGAAGAAAAGGCCTCATTTCCAACCTAAACTGCCCCTGGTGCAACTTGAGGCTGTTCCCCCTAGCTCTATTGCTAGTCATCTGCGAGAAGACTCCAACCCCCAGTTCCCTACTACCTTTCAGGTAGTTGTAGAAAGCATTAAGGAGAGAAATAAGGGCTTTAAACGCTTTAGAAAACTAGAGTCTCTTTAATCACAGTGCATACAACTCAGAGGAAAACATTTTGAACAGTGACTGCAAAAACATGTAGGAATTTATATTCAGCTGGAGTTTGCTTCTCTGGGAAATGGTACAATCTTTTCCTCTAGGAGAGTGCTGGATCTAGTGCCTGGTCGTGGTAGAGCTGGATTCTCTGCTCTCTCTGTTAAAGAAAGAACGTATTTGAAAGTGGTGGTAATAACTACATGATGGGCTCTCTTAAATGCACAGTACTAGAAGAATCAAGTGCTGTTATAGGTAACTGCTAGGTGTGCGCACCATGGGGTAGACAGATCTCTTCTGTCATGGCACACGCTTCACTACACTGGATGCCACAGATGCGGCAGCACTGAAGGAGGGAAAAAGCTACTGTGGTCACAAAGTGACAGTTTCCAACCCAGCCAGCTGGAGCCACAAATCAAAGAAGTGTTTCAAAAAACTGCACTTACCACTGCTTTTTGGTGACTGTTTTTAGGTGATGAGGAGAGACAGACAATTTTAAACATGCTAGGTTTGGGAGTGTTGACCACCCCTTGTGTTTGTGTGCATCACTGCAGCACGGTACCACAACTCCGCTGTATACTTGGGCTACATACAGGTAAATATACATGCTTTCTGTAGTCTTAAGTGCATCAGTTGCACAAAAATACTACAGCCAAAAGTTGCCTAGTGCCTTCTGAGAAGAACTCAGCTCAACTCAAGGTTTCCATAAACTGAGAAAATTGAGAAACAAAAGCTACATAGCACATAAGCAGAGGTGCCTTTTGATAACTCCTAACTCACAGTAATTGAGGAAAATGGCTCAAAATACACCCAATGTGGAACAACAGCAACATTTACTTGTGTTTGTGTATATGCACCCATGGGACACTTCTGTTAACTGCAGGTGCTCTGAAGGATACAGGAGCATTAGGAGCAGGTGGAAGAAGAGTCACTTGGGTGTAATGAGACTCACAGGAGGATCAAATGAACTGGATGGTGGCAGTCACCTGTAACACAGAGACCTCTTCCTAGGCATTAGTTAACAACCTGCCACATCTGTGACAGTGATTTCCAGAGATTGATCAAGTCTTAAAAAAAAAAAAAAAAAAAAAAAGGCAAGGTCCCAGAAGCAGTCATGAGAGCAAACAAAGGACTACTGTATTTAAGGATTCTCAAGACACTGGGGGAGCAGAGACTAACATGTAATGTAGGGGTTAGAGATGCACCATTGCTAGCACTTAGGTATTGCTTCTGCTGGTCCTGATGTGGTTTGTTAACCAAAGTAGCTGAATCATCATTCCCTGCCCTAAAAGAAGCACAAGCAACACAATGAGAATGTGGAAATGGACCAGAGCCAGGGTGTGAGCCTAACGTAGCCATGGACATTTGGGAATGCTCTGCTGTACACTGGAGAGCAGCACCACAAGCTGCTGTAAGTGAATGCTAAGGCCCTGGGAAGACAAAGCTGAAGAACTGGTAGCTTGTAATGGATATTCAGGACTTACCTGACAGGTTACTTTCGAAGTTTCTTAATGAAGCTGACCTCATCCCGGTTTCTGATGCCATACCTGAACAGAGAGGTGTGCTGTTACATGCCAGTTCTCTGGAAACCACAAACTTTGAAATCCTATAGCCTCCTTTTCCCAGGGGAAGATGGACTCCTAATGTGCTCTACTGCAGGACAGTTGAAAATTCTCACCTGCATAGACTGAACAGGATCTGATCATCTGCCTTTTTTACTGCAACACCTCAACACAATGTCTGTCACCGATGGCTCAGTCTTTCAAGGACACCTTTGATTAGGTAGGGCTGTCTTTCTAGGGACTCTCATTCCTGCTGAGTTTGTAACACTTCAGACAAGCTTTTCTTGCTGGTGCGCATGAGGGCTGATATAACCAGCACTTGCTCTATGCAGCAGCTGAAGTACACAGAAGTACCTCCTGCCTCCTTGCCCTGAGAACAGGCACAGAGGCGTAGCAGTGGTTTGTCAGTGTTGTTACAAGGATTGTCTCTGATGTGTGGCTGAGCGGGCTTGCCATTCTTTCAACCCTTCCCCATGCCCTTCTACCTTAGCAGCTCTGCCACGCTCTGTGAGGGGGTCTGAGCACTGGCACAGGTTGCCCGGAGAGGTTGTGGAGCCTCTGCCCTTGGAGGTACTCAGAACCCAGCTGGATGCAGCACTGAGCCACCTGCTCTAGGTTACCATGCTTAAGCAGAGGGTCGGACTGGATGACCTCCAGAGGTCCCTCACCCCATTCTGTGCCTTCAGAAGCTCCATCTGATTTCCTTTAGTGTTTAGCTGTTCTGCAGAGTTTAGTGTGCCTGGGCCAGGGACAATGTTTGCCTGCCTTGCTGTCATCCAAATTGGACAAACACCCTCATCACAGAAAAATCATAGCTGAAGAATTACCCAAGGCTTTCCTGCCATGCAGTTGTCCTCTGCTGGGGCCGTGTCCCACCTGCATGAAGCTCTGCTCCCACATTTTGGAGAACCTGGCCGAGCTGTGGCACAGAGATGCACGCCAATCCCCCCCTGTGCTCACACCTCGAGTACAGCCCGACTATCTGGGCCCACCCAGCCCTATAGATGCCAGAAGCGCCTCACTCACTCTCTCAGCTTCTTTCTGTCATCCGCCAGTTTCTCTCCGGCGTAGGTGAGGTGGTACGTCCTCCATATGTACTTCCTGGGGAGAAAAAAACAAAAAAGGTTCAGCGGGAGCGCCGCGGGCGATCGGGGCAGGGCTGAGGCGCGGGGCGCCGCTCACCAGCTGAGGTGCTGGGCGCCGCCCTGCCGCGCCTGCCGCAGCTGGACGTGTCTCCGCAGCGCCTTCTTCAGCTCCAGCACGGTCGCGTTCTGCACCACCACCACGGCTGCGGAGGGGACAGCCCCGTCAGCGCCCCTTCGGCCCGCAGACACCCCCCAACACCCCCACACACAGACACAGAGCCCGGCCCCTGACGCACGCATGGTCTCGCCGTCCGCCTTGCAGACCCGCACGGTCATGGCCTGCCCGTACTCCAGCGCCACCTGCGAGCCGATCTCCTCCGGCGTCACCTGCGGGGGGACGAGCGGGCGGCGGGGGGGCCTCAGGTCAACCGCGCCGCTCCCTCGTCCCGTCCCGTTTCCCCCTCAGCCCTCCCCAGCCCCGGCCCCACCTGCGGGGGGAGGTCGCAGAGCAGCGGGTCCTGCACCAGCCGCGCCAGCGCCGCCTGGAAGAGCTCCAGCACCTCGGCGTGCGCCAGCTCCTCCTCGGCCTCCGCCATCGCTGAGGCGGAAGGGGCGGCGCGAGGCGCGGGGCCCGCGATGTTGCTGTTCTGCCCGGCCTGCGGCAACGTGCTGGTGGCCGAGGAGGGGCCGCGCTGCCACCGCTTCGCCTGCACCACCTGCCCCTACGTGCGCAATGTGACGCGGAAGGTGCCGGGGGACGAGGGGGTCCGGGGGGATAAGGGGAAACGGGGGGGGGGGGGGGGCGGCCGCGGTCGGCCCGGACCCCGCTGACCAGCGGCGGCCCGCAGGTGACGAGCAGGAAATACCCGCAGCTGAAGGAGGTGGACGATGTCCTGGGCGGCGCCGCGGCCTGGGAGAACGTGGATTCCACCGCAGGTAGGGGCCGTGATGGGGGGAGCGGGGCTGGGCCTCGCCTCGCCTCGCCTCCCCTCACGGCCCCGCGCCCCCCGCCCCGCAGAGCCGTGCCCCAAGTGCGAGCACCCCCGCGCCTACTTCATGCAGATCCAGACGCGCTCGGCCGACGAGCCCATGACCACCTTCTACAAGTGCTGCAGCCCCCAGTGCGGCCACCGCTGGAGGGACTGAGCCCCCCCCGCCCCCCAGGGCCGGCCCGAGCTGAGGGGGCCCCGGCCTGGGCCTGCCCCGGGGCCCCCTGCTCGTGGTGCCGGGGCCGGGCTGGCGGCGGCCGCCCTCGCAATAAAGCTGGTGGTGAGTGGAGATCTCGGCGTCGTGTGGTGCTTTGAAAGCCACTGAGGGTGAGGCTGCCGTGGAGGACTAAAAGAGAAGAGGCTGAGCCAGTGCCACGATGAGAAATCGGTGTTTAAGAGGTAACTGTAGTTAGCTGAAGCTCTCTGAGAATACTCAGCAAAGGTTAGGCCAGGTTCAGCTGCTGTGGAACTGACCCCCACACACAAAGCAAAGGTAAAATGTTAGCCCTGGAGCCTTAAGGGGAGAAAAAAAGAAGAGAGGCCTTTTTCCCCCCATGGGCAAACCAGAGAAGTTCTGTTTGAAATCTTGCAAAAGCTAGGAAGGATGCATGGAGCCCTTTGGACAGTTAGAGGCCTGGCTTGGCTTTTACAGGAATTTCTTTCAGAGCAAGAAAGAAACACAGTAGGATCAAGTATTGCCTTCAGCTTAAGGTTTATTCTCAGCTTAAATGTATTCAAAAGTAAAAATAATTTAAAAAAAATTGCTTTCTTAAAACATGATGGAGTGGAAATTATATAGCGTTTAATCTGCATTAACACCTGTTCTTAAGTTTAGATCTTTTGTATGTTTTACTATCTTTTATCTATTATACGTGGATAATCTGCACCCATTTATTCCAGTTAACTTCATAGGGGAACACTCTTCCCAGCCTGAGAGTACAGTCTATGGTAGGCTCAAAGTATGTTGTCGGGGTTTCACTCAGTTTGGGATTGTTTATTTGTTCTTCTATGACTGGCTTAGAGAAGAGAGACACCATGGATGGCTTTTTCAGGTGGAATCGTCTGATGCAACCAAGAGCTTCAAGACCCTGCAGAAAAGTTCACACATTTTAGCTTAAGCAGTTGCAAAAACAAACTGAACAACCCACCCACCCCCTCAAATCCTATTCTACATTTGGTGTTCCCAGAAACATTAGGCAATTTATACCAAGTGGTTTCACTTCCAGCCCACAGGAGGACACAGCAATGGCAAAGGGCATGGCAAAGATTACTGCACACCAAAGAAAGTTCAAATAGCTGGATATACCCTCATTTGTCATTTTGCTCATCAGCTACTGTATCTCTTGAGGGTAAAAGCCTTTCAGCATAGCAGTTGATGTCTGAATACTAAGAACACACTTTCAGTTACAGCTCTGAGTTGGAGCTGGTATAAATGTACCAGGATTCTGAGTCAGCACCTGTTAATGGGTAGGCATCTGCTCCCACAGCAACACCCAACAAGGCAGTCTGTGTGCTGTATGTGCTGAAAATACCTGCTGCATATTCAGGGATCTTATGCAGGGAAGCATTCGGATCTACTGGCACTTGGTATAATACTACAGATAGAATATATATCGCTCTGTATAGGATTTCAAAACCAGTTCTCACCAGATTTATTAATAATCAAGTTGTCACCCATTTTGCTGGGACTTCAAGTGAAGTAGGTGCTGACTCTTACTGCAGAAGCTTAACCTAACTGAGGTTCGCACAGCTGATGGTTCACATACCTGCAGTATCTCCAAGACAGCAACAGGCTGCAGGACCCCCATATAATGCTGCAGCAGCAGGTCTTCTGTTATGCCTGGTTTTGTCATGATGTGATAGAGCACAGCTTCCATCATTCCCTTACATACAGGTTTATTTAGATTCCCATCCACAATCCTCCATGGTCTCCCGATGAAGCAGACATTCTCACAGGCCCTGAAAAAGAAAGTTCAAGTTCAGCTCTGCCAGCTGCTACTTTGAATGCGAACTGCTGGCTGCATCACGATGCCTCTTCAACCCCTCTATACTGGCAGCCAAGGCAAAATGCTTGCAGGTTTATCTTTGTCTCATGATTGTGTGCAATTGTAACCAACCCTGTCCTTAGTTCTTATTAGGTTTTCCCAAAAAGAATTATTCTAGCTAGATTTCCCATCATCATAACTTCTATGTAACAGTGACTGGCCCCAAAGTGAACACAGTGTTCAAGGTGTGGTCTCACCAGCACTGCTTGCAAGGGGACAGTCACTTCCCTGGCCCTGTTAGGTAACAGTCTGTGCTATTTCTAATAGAAGCCAGGATGCTGTTGGGCTCCTGGGCACACTGCTGGCTCACATTCGGCTAGCTGGAGGTCTAACAGCAGCCCCCAGGTCCTTTTCTGCTGGGCATCTTTCCAGCCACTCTTTCCCCCCGCCTGTACCCACTGCATGGGGTTGTTGTGACCCAAGTGCAGGACCCAGTACATCACTGATGATCAGCAAAGTTTTGTTTCACTTGTTTGTTTGCATTATTTCTATTATCCTCCAAAAGTTGCCAAAGACTTGCTTTGATCTGCAACATACAGCAATGGTACTCAGCCAGGAAACTGAATTGCTCATTTTTAGCATTTTGGATGCAAAGGCTGGACCCTGCGTTGTAATTCACACTTTCCATATTGCAGAGTTTCTCTATGCCTTTCCTGGCCACGTAGAAACTGAGAGTCACTGACACTGGACTTGTGAATTAAAATTGCTGTTGTTCCTCTGATATTGGGGGGGCACATGTATGAACACATCAACAACATTAACAAGAACAATGGAGGAAAACATGGGGCTCATCTTCAGTCCTCTCAACCCACCAGAACATAAAACTAAGGTCTCCAAAGCATTTGCTTTCAGAAGTTATTTTGGTAATGATAACTGTTCAGCTGTTCTGCAGACATCTCTGTTACTCACCTGTCCTTTGCTGCCTGGGATAAGTCTGTCATAGAACAGTCTGAAAAGAAAACAAACACGTAGTTTTTAAGTTAATTAGCCCAAACTTTATCTGGTAGAAGGAAAGTAAAAGGCAGCTAAGCTGCAAAAGGCAATGGCTTATGCTAGAAAATAACAGAATCAAACTAAGTGGTGTATTGTTCTTTGTTGCGTGGGGAGTACCACGATTCCACTCTGCCTTTATCTGCCTGCAGCACAGCCCTTGTTCCACACTTGTTCTCACAACCACATCTGTCTGCTCCAGCCACACTTCTTGTGGTTTTATTCCAAAATCATAGCAAGAAGTTTTATCACTAAAAGTCTTGTTACATGGCTGAACAACAGACAATTCTATGTGCTGAAAGAACCAAGTTTCACCCTATGCAGGGTCTCAGCTTGCAAGTGCTCACATGGGTTTGGGTTTGTTTAATTTTATGCTGCTGGTAGTCATACTGAAGTTGATCAGCTGTCTGAGTAACTGTACACTTAGGATTTGAGAATGCAAACTCAAGATTTCAGCGTGGTTTACCTACAAAATGAAGGTTGTCACTGCAACTTCCATGAGCCGTTATGGCATGGGTTTTAATTACACAATTACTTAGTGTACATACCTCTACCGCACCCAGAGGCTAACAGCTTTGGCATAAGCACATGTAAACCCTTCAGCTGTGCTTCATCAGTAAGGCTGGTAAGAACTCTGCACTTGGTAGCAGCTACAATTTTACTGTTCCTATGTTAAAAGCGGTAGAAGTTAAATTGAAAATATCATTTTAGCAGTTCTTAACATGAAACTATTGAAGTCTTACGCTACTTAGACAGCCCCGAGTCTATTTCTTGCAAGAAAGCTCCAATTAAACAATAGTCAACTCCCAGACCCTATGGATCAATCTGCACTGATTCATATGGCAGGCTGCAACTGTAAATGCAGGGTAAGGGCAGATTTTGGCAAAATGCCACAAAGACTGTTAGCTTGTGATTCAATCTGAAATGAGAGCTGGTAGAAACAAAAACAAAAGAACCTCTGCCATCAACCTACTCAATGTAAATCCTGGCAAGGACTACTAGCTATTAAAAAAGGAAAACTGGAAATAAAAAGGACAGGAAAATGGAGTCAGATTGGGTCACTAAAGAGGCTATTAATCTTCACTGGCATGTCCTGCATTCTGGTGAATGGTTTAATGACTACACAGCTTTCAGTCACAGGCATTTTAGTTAAAGGTACACCTTAGTGCTGTGTTTTCTAGATTTAAAAATGTCTCGTCTTTGGAGTGAAGCCAGAGATGAGAAACTTCAGATCTAAATATGTTGTTGGAGAACATTAAGACACTGGTTGTCCTGCACTGGTGTAGCCTCACCTTGACTATTGTGTGGAGTTCTGGGCACCACAGTACAAAAAGGATGTGAAACTGTTGGAGAGTGTCCAGAGGAGGGTGATGAAGATGGTGAAGGCACTAGAGGGGAAGATGTATGAGGAGCAGCTGAGGGCACTGGGCCTGTACAGCCTGAAAAAGAGGAGGCTGAGTGGAGACCTCATTGTGGTCTACAGCTTCCTCATGAGGGGGGGTAGAGGGGCAAGCACCGATCTATTCTCTTTATAATCACCAGTGATAGGACCCATGGGAATGGCATCAAGCTGAGGCAGGAGAGGTTTAGGCTAGACACC